CTGCTGCTGCTGCTGCAGTTGTTACTTGCTGGTACTTCTAACTAGCAACCCCACCAAAACAATACCAGCAATAAATGAATGAATTACAGCAGCAGCAGCAGCAGCAGCAACTGCTGCTGCTGCGGCGGCAGCTGCTGCTGCTGCTCGCTCCACGAGTGGCGGCCCTGTGGCCAGGAAGGTATTGTTAGGGTTTAGGGTTTAGGGTTTAGGGACGTTTTAAGGGTTTAGGGTGTACGTACACCGTAGATCTTCCCTTTAGGGTCTGCAGCAAGTCAACAGCAGCAGAGGGCCCCCACGGTATGCAGAGGGTATTGGTATAAGGGGCCCCCAATTTGTGGTTTAGGGTTTAGGGTTTAGGGTTTAGGGTTTGGGGTTTAGGGTTTAGGGTTTAGAGTTTTAAAAAAAACTTGGAAGCCTTCCTCCCATTCAAATCGCCTCCAAGGGCAGCCGACGCATGCGCCGCAGCAGGCCCTGCTGCTGCTGCTGCTGCTGCTGCAACAGCAGCAGCAACAGCAGCAGCAGCAGAGTCAATTAAACTAGCAGCAGCTAGAATTAATAATTACAGTTCTTTCTTTTCAGGTGTATAGGCAGCTAAAGACCTCCAGCTATACTCGATCCCATCAGAGGTGAGGTGGACAGACACCGCAGCTTGCTGCTGCTGCTGCTGCTGTTGCTGCTGGTCCTGCTGCTGCTGCAGTTGCTGCTGCAACAGCATGAACAGTACAGGACGCTGTCCTCTTACCATGTGGGAGAGATGCTTGGATTAGGGGAGGCAGCAGCGACAGCAGCAGTAGCAGCAGCAGCAGCAGCAGCAATGATAGCAACAGCAGCAACAGCAGCAGCAACAGCAGCAACAGCAGCAGGAAGAGGCGCACCTCCCTATGGTTGTTTCAACAAGAGCAGCAACAGCAACAGCTGCAGTACTAACGGCAGCAGCAACACCAGCAGCAGCAGCAGCATCCATATTAGCAGCAGCAGCAGCAGCAGCAGGATCAATATTAGCAACAGCAGCAACAACAACAGCAACAGCAGCAGCAGCAGCAGCAGCAGCAACGTGCCTCTCGTGTTTGTTCCTTCGTCTATGTTGTGTTGTTGCTGTTGATAGTGCAGTGTGCTGCTGCAGCAGTTGCTCATTACTGCTGTTGGTGCTGTTGCTGCTGCTGCTGCTGCTGCTGCTGCTGTGTTTTGCTGCTGCAGCAGGAAGTGTCTCCCTTTTTTATTAAAGATGGAGACTTCTAATGGGAAGGTGGACAGGTATACCATCAACTCTCTCCTTTTTTTTATTTATTTGTCTCCTTTTTTTTTATTTATTTGTCTCCTTTTTTTTATTTATTTGTCTCCTTTTTTCTTGTGTCTCCTTTTGTGTCTCCTTTTGTGTCTCCTTTTTTTTGTCTCCTTTATTTAATTGTCTCCTTTTTTATTTTCTCCTTTTTTTATTGTCTCCTTTTTTATTGTCTCCTTTTTTTATTGTCTCCTTTATTTAATTAATTATCTCCTTTTTTATTGTCTCCTTTTTTATTGTCTCCTTTTTTTTTTATCTCCTTTTTTTTTGTCTCCTTTTTTTTTTGTCTCCTTTTTTTTTGTCTCCTTTTTTATTGTCTCCTTTTTTTTTGTCTCCTTTTTTATTGTCTCCTTTTTTATTGTCTCCTTTTTTTTGTCTCCTTTTTTTTTTGTCTCCTTTTTTTTTGTAGCTCTGCTGTTGATCCATCAGAGATAGAGTCCCTTTATCCTTGTTGCGATATAGCACTCTGGTGGTTAGTTCCTGCTGCTGCTGCTGCTGCTGCTGCTGCTGCTGCTGCTCTTGTTGCTGCTGTTGCTGCTGCTCTTGTTGCTGCTGTTGGATGTTTGTCTGTTCTGCTGCTGCACATTTTGCTGCTGCTGCTGCTGTCCCTTCGCTAACTCCTTACTCCTCCTAAATATACCTTTATTGCTGTTGCTGTTGCTGCTGCTGCTGCTGCTGCTGCTGCTGCTGCTGCTGCTGCAGGCATGAGCTGAAGTTACGTGACAATGATACAACACCAGAGAGGAAGGAAGAAGCAAAAAAAAAATTAATGCAACAAATAGAGACTAATGGTAATAAACCCTAAACCCTAAACCCTAAACCCTAATTATATCCTAAACCCTAAACCTTCGTGTTGCTGCACAATACACTAGGGTTTGTAGGGTTTAGGGTTTAGGGTTTAGGGTTTAGGGTTTAGGGTTTAGGGTTTAGGGTTTGTGTTATTTGTTGTCAGAAATGGCTCCCCTTTACCGCAAGGCGATCGAAGAATTTGGTTGGCCAGCAGATGAAGAAAAGATTAAAGTAAGGGTTTAGGGTTTAGGGTTTAGGGTTTAGGGTTTAGGGTTTATTTTTTTTTCTTGTAATGATTATAATGAATATTATTGTTTATTGTATAGGATTTATTGTGTATATATATGTATATGATAATAAATGGTTTAGGGTTTAGGGTTTAGGGTTTAGGGTTATATATATATATATATATTATATATATATATATAT